TCAGAACCATAGACGGGTGGTACTTCAGATACCTCAGACGAGCTATCAACATAAAGGCATCATACTACTCCAGAATCTCCAACAAATCTGTATGGGCTGCTGCAGGCAAACCCCCCCTTCACTCGCAAACACTTCTATCCCGACAGTTCAAACTCCTGATACAAGCCACGACCACTCCGCCAAACCCCCCAATGCACCACGTGGTATTCTCTCCGGGATACAAAGATCGCATTAAGTTTACCAAATCACGTCACAGAGGTCACCCCTCCAGATATTGGTCCGAACTAGTATCAGCCCACGCGTTAGAGTACCTGAACCACTACCTAGACCACTCCGCCGAGTTTAAGGACCATAGGAGGGATTTCTTGGGTTTCAAACAAATGATACAGAAAAACCAGCTCTTCGGCGATCGCTTGACTACTGCGCCTACGCGCGCTTCACATATTTTCCAGCTGTACAGAAAGACAGTCGGCTGCGCTTGGCACTCCTAAAAAGCGACAAGCCTTTAAAGCTTTAGCCTTGAGCCCTAAACCCGTAAACCCTAAAGCTCTGGTCTCTTTAGTACAGCTGTAATCTTGGGGTCCACTAAAATTCATAGAATCCTAGCCCCCACTCATGTGTTTAATTAACTTTCAATTGTGGGCCCGAAATCGCGAAATTCTGGGGCCCGGGAGTTTTTACACTAGGGGGGTGTAAGGTTAGGGGGAAGGGATTAGTTCTTCGACGAGGTGTGCCACAACCAACCTAATGGGTTGGAAGCTTGACCACCTTGCTTCTGACCATAGCTGGCAGTCACAGACTCCCACAGCACAGAATCAGAAAGTCCACGACGGCTAACTAGTAGTTGCCACGCTGAGATTCAGGATTCGTCTGTCTGGCGAAGTCAATGCGACATGCTTCATTGATTAAAATGACAGCGCGGCAGTATACTTGACACCTGACCTGCGGCAGCTACTGAGAAGTTGTTTGATCCAAAACCTTGAGACAAGGATTCTCCACAACGTCCTCGTCTTGTGCCCGCCAAAGCGAAATAACAAAGAGTGTCACGAGGGCTGCTCCCTGCCTCCATGTCCATGGTTCTGCTGACCATCGTCTGACAGCAGTGGTCGGCTTGACCTTCCACCGTCTGTTCTGGTTCTTCTTATTCGCACCCGGGGCCTGGACCTTGTGGTCTGACGGCCCACTGGGGGTCTTCGGCTTGGCCTTTGCCGGGGTTGGCATTGGTGAGTCTGACACCAGGTCCGCATCAATGCCCCTGGCCCTTGGATCTGACGCCGCTGCCTTCGATCCCGATGCCACGCTCTCTGACTTTGCCGCGGCCTTGAACGTCAGACGTGGCTCGATCACTGTCAGACGCTCTCTGGGGTTTTCCTCGAACGGTGACGACACCGGCGAGGTTGGCGTCATAGCCGGCTCAGTCGGAGTGTAATTCGTCTGACTGGGGCTCCTTGACCTCGACGGCGACCTTGACGTCGTCTTCGTCTGACCAATGCCAACCGTCTGACCAATGCCAACCATGGGGTCGTCCTTCGGCTCAGCGCCCGTCGGCGATTCTGTCGTCTTACGAGCGCCCTCCTCTGGCACCGACGGGAGTGGCGTCGTAGTCTGACGCTTGGTGTTGAAGTGCGGCAGCCCTTTGAGCTCGGGCTTGCGCTGGCGCACCATGGCCAAAAATGTGTCTGACACACAGCTAGAGGACTCACTCAAACCCACACGCAGTCAGACGAGTCATGAAACTCCTGAATCAATGATCATCATCATGTAACTGTAATCATAATCTGAAATCTAATCATCGCCGATGTCTTACACTGACTAGCTGATGGTCCGAACTGCCTGCAGCATCAAGACGATCAAAGGAGCTTGCAAGCAAGTCTAGCACAGGCCGAAAGGTGCGTGCAAACTCCAGCCTCCACCTCCACGGCGCCATCACATCGTCGAGGAGACCAGCGATGTTGTCTGACCTTCGCGAAATTAATTAATTAATTAATTAATTAATTAATTAATTAATTAATTAATTAATTAAATTAGGCGAGAATGAGTCTGACTACCACTTTAGGGTTTTAGTGTTTCAGGGTCTAGGGGTTAGGGTTTGGGGTTGGGCTTAGGGTTAAGGCGGGGCCAATGGCTCACCAGCAAAGCTGGGCCAATGGCTCACCCGACAGTGCCCAGAACAGCTGGGGCCAATGGCACACCCGATGGGGCCAGTGGCCACACCCAGCAAACCCGGGGCCAAGGGCTCACCCAGCACTGCTGGGGCCAATGACCGGGGCCAATGGCTCACCCAGCAAAGCTGGGGCCAATGGCTGACAGCACGGGGCCAAGGGCTCACCCAGCAAAGCTGGGGCCAGTGGCACACCCGAGCACTGGTTGGGGCCACCCAGCAAAGCTGGGGCCGATGGCACGCCCAACAGCGGGGCCAATGGCTCACCCAGCAAAGCTGGGGCCAGTGGCACACCCGAGCACTTGTTGGGGCCATCGGCTCACCCAGCAAAGCTGGGGCCGATGGCACACCCAACAGCGGGGCCAATGGCTCACCCAGCAAAGCTGGGGCCAAAAGGCACACCCGCAGCATGGGGGACAATGGCTCACCCAGCACAGCTGGGGCCAATGGCACACCCGACCAGCGCCAATGGCTCGCCCAGCAAAGCTGGGGCCAACGGCACGGCAGCACGGGGCCATCGGCTCACCCAGCAGAACTGGGGCCAATGGCGCGCCCTGCGGACCGGGGCAATGGCTCACCCAGCACTGCTGGGGCCAATGGCTCACCCGGCGGACCGGGGCCAATGGCTCGCCCAGCACTGCTGGGGCCAATGGCACACCCGAGTCAATCAAAGATCCTGGGCCAATGGCTCACCCAGCTAAGCTGGGGCCAATGGCACGCCAGGAACCGAGGCCAATGGCACGCCCAGCAAAGCTGGGGCCAATGGCTCACTCGGCAGGCTCGGGCCATGGCTCACCCAGCAAGTTGGGGCCATGGCTCACCGAGCTGCAAAACGACGCAAACGAGGGGTTTAGGGTTTAGGGGTTTAGGGCTTTAGGGCTTTAGGGCTTAAGGTTAGGGTGTCTTACTCAGCTCCTGACGATGCCTGGATGGGAATGGCGACAAAGATCACGGACCATGTCTGACCTGGCAGAATTAAAATACCCTAACTTACCCAAAACCAACCCCTTTAGCAAACTTGCGGGGGCGCACCTTCCGAAACCATCGGGCAGCTCGGGGGCTTTGAGGGGGGGCTTGTCTTACTTGGGCCTTAGTTTTTATTCTTACATGACTTTCTTGGGGAGCTGCTTCTCATGCAAACATGTTGGAACTTGAGCCACCAGGGGGCATCTAGAAAAAAAGCTTTCAAGCTCTCCACTTGGGATCCAAGTTTCGGAAACCCCCATTTCGGGGGTTTTCTATGCTACTAAGTTTCGGCGGCGTATGCATCTTACTCTCGATCCGCGTACTCTAAAAACCTGCTAAACCTTGGGCCTCTTTTGAGGGTTCAGCCTTTTGTAGGGTTCCTGATATGAATCCGACTCTTTTAGGGGTTATAGGCCCAGGGTATCTTAATCAGGTTCCTACATTACATCTCGAAACTGAGACATCCTGGACCTCTACCCCTTCCAATCTCATTGGCCCTTCCCCTGTGACTGCACGTGATTGGGAGTGGCCACTTGAAATAGCAGCCATGGGCATAATCTTGCATCACAACTCCGAATTCAGGGGCTGACTGACCCAGGTCTGTGGGTTTCGGGGGAGGTCAGCAAGGCATGTGTCCCGATGCGGCTGGCGCAGCTGTAAGACAGCAACATACCCTGTCCTCCAAATCAGCAAGCTAGCGCTAAACTCGGAGCCTTGGGGGTTTTCGGTGACATATATCGTAAGCATATATGGGGTTTCCGAAAATTAGGGGTACCTTGTTCTGGGATCCTTGTAATAAGGATAATACTATTTAGGGTGCTATGTTAGGGTCCCCTATTTTCGGCATCTCCCATATATCCTAACACTCCGAATGGTGCAAGAGTACTCTTCTTTGTACACTGGCAGGTCCCTATACAAGCAGATGTAGGAATAAAATCAAGCACAAAAGACCCCTCGCAGCACAGATAAGTGGCAGGTTTGCTCAAGTCCCTACATTAACATCCCCGAGCCTCGAGGCTAGCTGCCCGAATGGTTTTTGCAGAGGCTCTACAAGGTTTTTGCATTTCCTGATAAGATACAGCCATGAGTGGTTGTCAAAATCAGGGTCCTTCTTTGCCTGAATTTCATACGGCACCTACATAATATTTAGGGTACCCAAAACAGGAGCCCAATTTTGACAACTACCCACATAGGATCTCAGGGAGCTTTTCTATGAAGTTGGAGAAAGCTTGAAGTTCCTTCGAAATAGCGGTGCCCTTTTCTACTATTTGCTTAAGAACACCAAAAAAATTAAAAAAATATTCCTTATGGGGGTAATATAGGGATTATATTTTTTATTTTTTGGGGGTTCTTAAGCAAACAGTAGTTTTCGGTATCCTTCAGCAAGTGGGTTTAGGGTTTCGGGAGCGCGTAAGTTTTTGAAGCCACAGGTCATCTAAAATCCAGTAATATCTGTGATACTGGCCTATACTAGCTACTACCAGGGCTCAACAAGAAAGCTCTAAAGGCCAAAACCTTAACTAACTCCTCCAGCGCCCTTCCTTCCAGGAACCCTTAAAGACCCTAAACCCTAAACCCTAAACCTTAAAGGAAGCCCCGACGAAGAATCAAACGAAGCCTTCACGGAATTAGTCTTGACCCAACCCTCCAAGGGTAAAAGGAGGGACCCTTAATAAGGACCTCTAGGTATGTACCTTATGTACCTTAATATAGCTATTATATACCCATTATATAGCCCATTATAGGGTACGGGTCCCCATCAAGGGTCCCTCCTTTTCCCCTTTGACAACCCTTCAAGGAGCGTTTCAACGAACCCATAAAGGAAGCCTCGAACGAACCCTGAACCCTCAAGAACAAAGGCTGAGGGTACCACCCAAGCCGAGTGTACTCGAAAAGCTGTTGGCTCCATCGAGAAGACCTGAGGACAAAGGGCGCCTTAGCTTCGGAGGCTTACGGCCCTGAGCTCTATACTAGAAGCCCAAGTCCCTAAGCTTCAAACCCGAAACTCCCTAAACGTGTCTTTCGCACTTTCACAAGGATCCACGCGTGTGCGGCACTCGCGATGCCTTGTGCCGCTTTCCGGGGCCTTGCAGCCTTCGGTCCAGGATTTCTAGCAGGACTCTGCGTTCTGCTAGAGCTCTCGGGAAGCTCTGTATGAGCTTGTTGAGAGCAGCAGTCCTCAAAGTGGGCGAGAAACGGAAAGGTATCCAAGTCACCAGAGAAGAGAGGACTCTGAGAAGCACGAAACCTGTGAGGAACCTAGTAAACAGCACTGCCCAAAGGGTCCTACGGTTGATGATATAAATCCTGCATTACCTCAAGGACCCTAAACTATGGGAATTATGGTATACTCCTTATTATGGGGTCATGCAGGATGTAAATCATCAACCGTAGGTACTGTTATGAGGGATACTTCCCAAATCATACTAGTAATTCCTGATATGGAAACCCTACATTCTACTCTACAGGTACTTTGGACCCTTTGGGCTGTTGAGTTGTTCACTGGGTTCTAGCTCATGAAACGCGATAAAGATAGGCTCTGCTGCATGAGCCCCAAACCCTAAACCCCAAACCTTTAACCCTGAACCTTAAACCCTAAACCATACACCCTGAAGCCCAAACCCCCTAAACCCCCAAACCCTCAAGAATCAACCCTAAACTCGCCAACATCCCTAAACACTCTGCCCCAAGGCCCCTCGAAATTACGGGCATCGACTTGGAAGATCTTCCTTAGGAAAACCCCTATAGGTCTGAGACCTCGAGCCGAAATGCATAGAACAGAAGGGCCTTCATAGTTAGAGCAGGCTTCCTTGAAGGCTTCCTTCAAGTGTTTGGGGCAAGGGGCCTCAATCATAAGAGCCGGTTTGTGGGCCGTAGTACAGTACATGTCCGGTAAGGACTGTAAGGGGGATGTTTCTCGCCTCTGCTTTCCACGATCTGACTGACTGAATAGCCCGCAGAACACGCTGTGAAGCCCCTTTGCCTCCAGAGACTCAGCAAGCCCTACTTGAGGAATAGACCTAAATCCCCCCAAAAAAAACCCTAAACAATCCCTAAAACCCACAAACCCTAAATCCCCCTTAACCCTAAAGCCCCCTAAACCTTCATCATCATACTGCCGATCCCTCTTTTTAGATTATGTAATGTAGGGGCCTTCGCAATTTAATGGGGCTTCGGGGTTTAAGGTTTTGTTTTGATTGGGCTCCTTTTTCCAACTGATTGGGGTTTAGGGTTGAGAGTTTTGGGTGTTAAAGTTTAGGCGCCTAGGGCTTAGAGTTTAGATTGATGTTGTTTTTGGTTGCTAAGTTGGGTTGACACCTTGTTACGCCCGCCAGCAGTCGGCTCCCAATTATGTGTGGCTGACCACAGGATTTAGATGTTAGGCTTTAGGGTTTACGGGCCTAGGGTTCTGGAGTCTACTGTGGTGCAACTAAGTGGAGGCTGTCCTGCAGCCCTAAACTCGCCACAATGATAATACAATAGCAGGTTATGACTCAATGGTAGCAAGATAGGATACACCCTCAAATCAATACACCGTTGAATCACAGTTTGCTCCAGGACACCAAACATCGCAAACCATGTTAACACAAGCAAAACATAAACCTAGAACCCTTGAATCACTCTCCATAGCCTTAGCCGGTCTGGGAAGGAGGCCAATTGGCTGCCAGCGCAATACTTGAAGTGAAGATGGTGCAAGCCTGGTTTCGGGTTTAGGGGATTTAAGGATTTAGGGTTTAGGGTTTAGGGGGTGTCGGGTTTAGGGTCTAGGGCTCAGGGTTTAGGGTGCAATGCTTAGGTAAGCCGTAAACCCTAAACCCGAAACCGAAGATGGTGCAAGCCTGGTCTCTCGGCCTTCTGGGGTTCCTAATGCCGCTACCCAAAGGCCCCAAAGTAGTTCCTTTTGGGGACTACCTTATAGGATTCTATATATGAACCCCAAAAAGGAACGACTTTGGGGCCTTTGGGTATTGGTATTCCTATTATTATTCTCATGTCATTATCTGCAGCGGAAAATGACATGTAATACGGGGCACTATCAAGTCAAGATGTAGGACTACACAATAACACCCTCAACCTTAAACCCCTAAACCCTAACCCTTGGGGGGTTGGCAAAGCCTCGGAAAGCCCAAAACTCCTCCCTTCCAAATATAGATTGGCGTTCTTGCGACATCATGTACTCTAGCTGATTTCCATTGAGGTCGTTGATGTGGCCCCGCTCACAAGTGCAACTCCACTGGCCTCTTGCTCGCACGCCTGTATAAACTTAGCCTTCTTGCCGTTGTTCCACATGGGAGTTTCCGAAAATTAGGGGTACCTTATTTTGGGGTCCTTATAATCAGGATCCTACTATTTAGGGTACTATATTGGGTTCCCCTATTTTCGGAAACTCCCACATCTCTTGATCACGAGCTCTTGCTCCTTCTCCTGCGCCGGTCTCGGGTCTTGCGTAGACATCCATCTGCAATTGTGTACATTCTGCCAGTAAAGGGAACTCCAGAAAGTTGGAATATGGATTAATGGTATGATCCCCTATAATTTACCTTAAAGGGGTTACGATAATGATATTCCAACTTTCTGGCTTCTACTGTAGTAGTCCATGACTTCTTTGCACATGTCCCATCCCAGATCTCTCATCCCTAAGGGTCCAAGTACCCAAATGTTAGGGTTTCCAAGGTCCAAAAAACCATTCAGGGTATGGATTTTGGGATCTAAAACCCTACTATTAGGGTACTTGGACCCTCTGGGTCATTTGTTTAGCCAGAGCAAGGCGTTGCTGCCAGTCTCTTGGTTCAACACGTGTTACCCTAAGGCTCCATGTACCCACATAGTATATACTTAAGCCTTAAAGTACCCATATAGGGACTACTTTGGGGCTTAAGTATCTACTATAACGGTACATGGAGCCTTTGGGTGTTAGAGATGGTCTGCGCATAGTAGGCATTACACCAGCCACTCGTTGCCAGGCTCCACAGGGGTTTTTGCGGACACTTCATACTAGGATTTTATAGCGGGTTGTTGAAAAGAAGTGGTTGTCAAAATTATGGTCCCTTTTTTGGGTCCCTAATATAATACGGCACCCATTATTTAAGGCGCCCAAAAAGGGACCCTAATTTGACGACTACCCAAATGTGTGTAATGTGGGGTACATTGGGGTCGATGGTGGTTTAGTGCTTAGGGTTTGGAGGCAGGAGCCGGGCTTCTTTGGGGTCACTGTTTCTGACTCCTGTAACCCTGCATCAAAATCTAGGGTACAGGGTTGCAGGTTTTACTCCTACGCATGTACTCCGCAGAATCATCCCTTGAAAAGACCCGGGCCATAAGAACCCCATACCTGTACACAGCCCCGAAAGGAACCATGTCTAAAAATCTTAAAATGTGCTTCCAAGGACCTTATGGTAAGGGCCCTAGACCCCTTAAAAACACAATACTAAAGTCGCTGGAAGTAAACCCAGAACCCTAAACCCTAAACCCTAAAACCCTAAACCTCCAAAGAGCTCCCCTAGGGCCCCCAGACTCGTCGCCATCATCCGCAACCACATCTGATGCTCCAGGCCGTGGGTGGCTGTGATGTTGTCCACGGTGACACTGGCTTCCTTGGGGGTTTAGGGTTTTGGGGTTTAGGGTTACCCTAAGGCTCCATGTACCCATGTAGTATATACTTAGGCCTTAAAGTGCCCATATAGGGACCCATTTAAGGCCTAAGGGCCTAAGTATCTACCACAAAGATACATGGAGCCTTCGGGTTAGTAGAGCTCAGGCTTGAGGTCTGGAAATGAGGCGCGAAACGTAATTAACAGCAGGCTAGAAGCCAAAGGATACATACTGCGTGTCCATATGGGTGGTTGTCAAAATTAAAGTCCTTTTTTGGGGTACCCTAAATATTAGGTGCCGTATATAATAGGGACCCACCCAAAGTGGGATCCTAAGTTTGACAACCACCCATATGTACAAGCCCTAACTAAATCCTAACCCTTGCAAAGCTCGGCGGGTTTAGGGTTTAATAGGGTTTGGGTTTCGGGGTTGACGGTTTTGGGGCTCGAGGTTCCGAATTCCGGCCTTGCAGTTTGTAGATTGATGATGCTCTAAACCCTAAGCCCTAAACCCTAAAACCCGAAAACCCTACACCCTAAACCCTAAGATCCCTTTCACCACCGCTGTATGGTTGGGAGTTCAGGGTGTTTGGGGCTCAGGGTTTGGTTTAGGGCTAAGCAATGTCTACAACCCAAGACCCCACCAGCTCTATGTCTGACGACAAAGCAAGGACCCTTTCGGTTCAATATGGAAGCCTTAATAATTGGAATAGGGTTTTTGGGGCACATTTTACTATACTGAACTTAGGACCCTAGCAACAATTACAATTTTGGCTGTTTCTTAGGGATTATAATAACCCAAAAATTAAGAAATATTTCTAGGTACTCAGGTTTTGGCAACCCAGTATTTTCAGTGCTTTGTATTGTGTGTGGGTTTCTGTGTCAAGTGGTTCCCAAAATATTATCGAAACCCCAAACCCTAAACATCTGCTACAATACAAACTGTTTAAAACCAAACCTGTATGCCCTTTAAACACCCCAGACCCCTGAATGGCATGGCAAACATTAAAAAGAGACCAATTGCCCTGCCAAAAACCCTAAACCCTAAAAAAAAAAAAACAAGCCAAGGTGCAGTGCCCGCTGATGTACTCTGAAGCGTTAAGCCAAGTCCGGTCAGTGCCAAGCGCGCCGAGGCCTGTGAGTTTCGGGTTTAGAGTTCAGGGTTTAGGGTTTAAGGCTTAGGGTTTAGGGTTTAAGGCTTAGGGTTTAAGGTTTAGGGTTTAGTTTCGGATTTAGGGTGTCCTTTGAGGTTTCTTCAAGCGTTCTTCGAGATATCGGTCAGGGTACCATTTTCGGGTCTAGTTGGGCTTGGGATGGTAGGGGATTTAGTGCAGGGATTCAGGGTTCAGGCCTGGGGGGTTGCGGGGATTTAGGACTTGGACCATGAAGGAGGTCTAGGGTTTACCCAAAGGCCCCAAAGTAGTTCCTTTTTGGGGTTCAAATATAGAATCCGATAAGGTAATCCCCAAAAAGAACTACTTTGGGGCCTATGGGTAGTGGGTTGAGGGTTTATAGGGATGGCTGTTTGAGGATGTGGGGCTGTGTGTTTCGAAGTTGCAGTTTGTATGTGATGCGGGACATAACGTTGGCATCGCTGGCTGTGTCTGCCTACCAGATGAAATCGAAACACTAGCACCTAAATTCTACATCACAGCCCTACACCTTTCAACCACCCGAAATCCCGTAACTCCTAAGCCCTTATAGGAGATTGTAACGGCACAAGTAAACTTCGCTGGACGTCGTCATAATTCGCAAAAAATACTTGGGTTTAGGGTACAAGGTTTGGTGGTCAGTACTTTACCTGTAGGGCTTCATCTACCCATGCAGTATATGCACATGGGGGATCACTGCGCCTACATTTGCCTTTTTTTTTTTGAGGGGGGGTGTAAAGAAAAATCCTTCTGCCTCAGGACATGCAAACTCCTTGGTATTTACAGCACTTTCGCTCCTTCTGAGTGCAATGTCCTTCTTTGTTCTGGTCTGCCGTCTCTCTCATATCATGTCATGTCATCTCATCTCAGATCATACCACTCATCATCTTATGCTATTTCATGTCATGCCATGTCATATCGGGGCATGTCACACAACGGGTAGCTTCAGTAGATTCTCAATCCCGTGCTTAACTCTGCTTTGTGAGACGGGCATAGTAATTCCAGTATGTTCGCCAGTGCTACTTAGAACCTACTGCTTCTCGCGTAAGAGCCTCGCCAGTCCGTAACAGCGACTAGCGTTCCAAACTGTAAACGCAATAAGAAAACATGCTGTCAACTTTTCCAAAAGGAAGCTTGTTTTGTGTGCCAGGAGCGGTAGATTCGACGTAAACGTCTGTTTTCGCAGGCGCAGCTATCTCCCCGTGGGGTAGTATATACTTAGGCCTTACAGTACCTAGTTTCGAAGGGGGCTAGACTGCTTTCCTGGTGACGAAGTTAGCTTAAGTTGCCAAAACGATTTTGAGAGTTGGGGGATTAAGGTTTGGCACGCAGCACTTTTGCTTAAAGGTTTGGGGCTATGATTCAAAACACACCGCAAACCCTAAACCCGAAGCCCTAAACCCACTATTGACCCCTAAACCCTAAGCCCCAAACCCATTATGAACCATAAACCCACTATGGTACCTTCCGTCACCCAAACTTTGCTCGCGAGAGCACCGACCGCTCACACGACAGGGGAGAGCCTTGGAGTAGGCATCGTGACCTGCGGAGAGGCATTTTAAGGGTTTTACTTATTTTGAGGCTGGGGGTTCAGGGTTTCGGGTTCGAGTTACAGGGCTAGGGGTTTAGGGTTTCGAGTGTAGGGCTCAGGTTTGATGGCTAAGGGTCTAGCTTTGTGCATGTCAGATGGTCTTAGCCCCACAAGGTCCAAGTACATAATAATCATATACTCTCGCTCTCAAATATGAAGCTACATAAATACGATCCTAAACCCAAGTATCCTAATTATTGGGTCCTTCGGACCCTTAGGGCAGGAGTCTTTGCCTCTGCGTTTAGGATGGCGTAAGGACGTACGATTTGGGAGTTGTAGGACCCAAATAGTAGGATCCTGACTATAAGGATTCCAAAATGAGGTTTCCGAAAATAGGGGACCAGAATATTGTACCCGAAATAGAAGGATCCTGACTATAAGGACTTCCAAAATAAGGTTTCCGAAAATAGGGGACCCTAATATAGTGACCGAAATAGTAGGATCCTTACTTTCAGGACCCCCAAAATTATAGGATAGGTACCCCGTATTTTCGGAAACTCCCATTTTACGGTGCTTGACTCAAGGGCTTCAAGGAGCTCCAGGGCTTGAGAGTTTCGGCTTTAGGGCTCTTAGGCTTTACGGCTCTTACTGTAGGGTTTAGGATGGTTTAGGGCTCTTGGGGTTTAGGATGGTTTGATTAGGGTTTATGCTTTAGGGCTCTTAGGGTTTAGGATGGTTTAATTCGGGTTTAGGCTTTAGGGCTCCAAGGTTTAGGATGGTTTAGGATTTAGGGTTTAGAGTGTTGGTGGCTTTTGTCCTCAAGGGAATGAGATTTAGATTTCGCTCAGGGCGCCTACGGGGTTTCAGCCCGGAGCTCCGTAGGTTCGCGGCTTAGACTCTCCTTAACCCCTAAACCCTAAAGTAAAAGCCAGAAAGTTGGAATATGATTATCCTAAACCCTTTATGGTAAATTATAGGGTATCCTACCCTGAAACCAGATTCCACCTTTCTGGAGTTCCCTTTAAACCCTATTGATTGCACTCAGACGCGCCTTCAGCAGAAGCCTCCAACAACTCGAGCGACAGCTCCTCCCCGGCATCTCGCCGAGTTTTGCGTGTGTGGAGCCCGGGCTCTAATACAGGGGCCTTATAATTCCTTTAAAGGGGCCTTAATAAGTAGAATAGGGTTCCTTTAAAGGGGCCTTAATAATTAGAAGAGGGTTCGTTTAAAGGGGCCTTAATACTTAGAAGAGCGTTCGTTTAAAGGGGCCTTAATAATTAGAATAGGGATCCTTTAAAGAGGGTCAATAAGGGCTAGTATACGGATCCTTTAAAGGGCGTCTATATAAGGGCCACTAGACGGATTTAACTATGGTCGCGGAGTAGGGTTCAGGGCTTTGGGCAAATTCATGAGAGTGTCTAGAGTGTCGATGTATAACCACAGGGTTTCATACAAACTTCACTAGGTTTCGGCTGGAGGTGCTCTATAGCTCTTAAAGGTTCAAAACTGCCGGAAGATCGAACCTTGGAAAAGCAATATGGGTGGTTGTCAAAATTAGGGTCCCCTTTTGGGTCCTTTTTATAATACGGCACCTAATATTTAGGGTACCCAAAAAGGGACCATAATTGACAACCACCCATATGCCAACCGGAACTAGTAACTAATCGCTGCTGAGCTGTCATGAGCACCACATCTTGCCCAGTCCCGAAATGGGAACTTCCGAAAACAAGGGGTACCGTATGTGGGGCCTTATAATAAGGATACTACTATTTGGGGTGCGATATTAGGGTCCCCTATTTTCGGAAACTCCCGAACTCGAAACTTTCAAGCTTGCTCAGCGCTCCGCAGGAATCTCAAAGCCAGGAAACACGAAAACGACCACGCGCCTCCAAGCCCCCAGAACCCCAAACATTCTACTCCCTAAGCCCCAAGCCCCAAATTCTGCATAAGCCCCAAAACCCCAAGTTCTGCACCCTAAGCCCCATACTACAAGAAGCAACCGTAAAAAAGCCAAGAAAACGTCCTTCAGCCGCACGTACAATTGAGCACCGCCGCGTGAGAGCTCTGGTGCTGGCCTTGGCTCTTCATGGGTACCGGTTTAGGGTTTAGGGTTTGGGGTTTAGGGTTCAGGGTTTGGGGTTTAGGGTTCACCAGCTATAGTTTAGAAGCTGTCTTCACCCTGTAATTATATTCCTATTATACCACTATTACAGGGTGGGGGCAGCTTCTAACCTATAGTCTCCATTGTAGTTCCTTTTCTTGGTTAACCAGTTTTATGGTTAGGATCCTATAATAGAGATTTTGGTTAGCCAAAAACAGGAACTACAATGGAGACTATAGGTAGTTGTCAAAATTACGGTCCCTTGTGGGTAGGTGCCTTAATTGTTAGGTGCCGTGTTATATTAAGGACCAAACAAGGGACCATAAGTTTGACAACCACCCTCATAGGGATGAAGACTTCTTGCAAGTCTTTGAAGGGCTCAGGGATTGGGGTTTAGGGGGGCGTCTGAAGGGATGTCTAAGGGTTCGACGAGACTTTCATACCCTAAACCCTAAACCCCTAAGCTCGAAACCCAATACCATAAACCCTAAGGTACGCCCTAAACTAGGGCTTAGCGGTTTATGTAGGGTTTAGGATTTACGGGTTTAGGGTTCAGGATTTCGGGATCAATATAAACTTCACAAATATGGAACTAAGTCCCACACAACCGTGCTTGGGACCTAATTCCATGGGCCGTTTGGGGCATAATTCCATAATGGTGGTATGTATGGACCCTCTGGGAACCCTTCAAGGCCCCAACACCCCGAAAGAGGTTTGGGCACTAGGGCTTCGGCTTTCAGGGTTTAGGCATTCGGGTTTCGGCCATTAGGTTCTATAGGGTGCAAGCTTTGAGCTTGAGAGTCTTTATAGTTGAAGAGCTATAGTTAAAGGTTTCCCGTGATCACCAAACCGCCAAAACCCTCAAACAACCGGCTGCAAAACCCCAAAAACCTGCAAGACAAGCTCCAGCTGAGCCATGCAATCGTCCTTTTGCCTGGCCACGATAATGCATCAGGACCCGGTAAGTCCGTAACTGCAGCTCTGTTTGCTTGCAGTTCTGCTGCCCGGGGAATCCCAGCGACTTGGGCAAGTCAGAACTGTTTCTGAAAGTTCCTGCAAGGCGTCGGTCTGCTGTGTACCGTCACGAGGTCCTACGGCAAAGCGGCCCGTCACTGCCAGGCCTCACACCAGCACATGAAAAAACAAGGTCTCGTAGCTCTTCGCCGCCCAGAAGGGTCGTGCGATTTTGTTCTAACACTGCATTTATTGTCCATGCTTGCAAAATCAGAAAACCCCGGCAGGCGTGGTGTATTTGGCCTTCAAGGCCAATCATACGAGAAACGTCGTTGCTCAAAAACCATACCAAACGTGGGCTACGAAAATTTATAAGCCCCCCCAGCCCTACCGACAACAGCCAACGAACAAACTACGAAGCAGAATACACACGCACGAAACAACCATGAAAAAACACTACTACCACGACGACTACTACGACCCTAAACCTTATAAACCCTAAGCCCAAAACCCAGCACTATATACCAAGTCACAAGGACACCCCAAAACCCGGCAAACCCAATTCTCATAGTGACCCTTAGGGGGTCGGGGGGGGGGGGGGGGGAGGGGGCCATAATGCCCATAATCAGGACTTGATAAGGCCTATTTAAGGAAGTATAATAGGGGCCTAAATAGTTACCTACTACACTGTTTTGGGGTTCCTTATTATAATTAGAGTATAATGGGCCCAAAACCCTATTCTAATTATTAAGGCCCCTATATTACAGTCCCCTTCCCCCTCCCCCTTACCCTATGTAAACCCTAAACCCTTAGGGTCTCAAAGAACTTCTCAGAGCCCCGGACACGCATCGAAGTGCCAGAGACGGACAGCCCGTGAGCTCGGCCAAGCGCACCTTTTAGGGTTTCTCTTTAGGGCTAAGGGTTAGGGTTTGGGGTTTAGGGATTAGGTTTTAGGGTTTCGGGTTAATGGTTCAGGGTTAATGAAGAGCTCCTGTGGGTTTCATGCGGGGTTTAGGCTTTGAGGTGTGGGGTTTAGGGGTCCTGGGTTTGTGGCGAGAATTCTGCGGGCACCTGTTGATGTGTGAGGCTAACAACATGTCGTGAAAAGAGCACCGGTTACGTTGTTGACTTCTTTGTCATGTATGAACCTGATTAAGAGACCCTGGGCCTATAACCCCAAAATAGTAGGATTCGTATAAGGAACCCCAGTGACGGCCCAAGGTTTCTTAATCAGGTTCCTACATTAAAGAGATGTATATGGCACATGATGAGACTCAGGCGGTCCCGAGCACACTAAATAGGCCTTACCTCATATAGGAGCCTTAATAATTAGAATAGAGGTTTGGGGCCCATTATCATAAGGAATCCCCTAAAATAGTATTGGTATTTTATTTAAGCCTAGTCTCCAGTCTAGTTGTTTCCCCTATAGGATCATCAACATAAAGGGTTAAACCAAAACAGGAACCACAATGGGCAATACAAGTACAGTCGCTTAGTGGCGGGTTCCTCGGCTACGGTAACTGACTGAGGGGCAAGGCTTGCGCTTGTCTCTTGGAGGTTGAGGTCTCGGGCCTAGACTTTGGGGCCATGGTTTAGGGTTCAGGGTTGGTGCGAGGGTCTTCCACGTGGCTTGTGGGTTGAAGGGGCCTCTGCACGACTGAGCGTCAATCCCGCTGGATTTAAGCTTTAGGGGCTCGCTTGATCAACACTCCTTCTCCAGCCGCTATACTTGTGAACCGCCTACCAAGGAAGGTGCAACACCACACCCCCAACCCTCTTCCCTGCGCAACCTACAAAACAAGAACCTTTCACCATCTCCACTGTAGATGTTTTTGTCCCTACCTTGCTTTTGCAGTTCGGAGTTTCCTGAAATGGACAAGGTCAAACTTAGGGCTTATAGGGTTTAGGGTTTAAGGTTTAGGATTCGAGGTTCGAGGCTAAAGGTTTAGGGTTTGGGGGTTAAGGTTTAGGGGTAGGATACTAAGCTCCCTGGTAATCCCTGGAAGTGCAAAAGCGGGCCCGTCTCCCCATCATTCATTCAAGGAGATAAAGCAAAATGAACAAGGTGCAAGGGTACCATTGGCCGACCAAAACAATGTACTGTACTGGCATGAATATGTGTATGTATGTATGTATGTATATATATATATATATATATATATATATAAAAGTATTCGTAGATAGAGAGAGAGAGAGAGAGAGATAGAGAGAGACTGTGCTGTCAAAACGTAGATACTGGAATACGAAGTTGCGGATAAACTCTGATCGTGAATAGCATCAACAACCCAAACCGTCCTACATCGGCATGCAGCCTATCACAAAGAATGTCTCCGCGCAACGCCCGTTGTATGAACTTAACGGAAATAAGCAGACATAGTATACAGAGTGTAATATGCCCCACAAACCGTTCTGACTACTATAAGGCCCTAATCGCCCCCTAAGTCCTGCTTTCATGACCCAAACCCTAAACCCCAAACCCAGATCAAAGTCTGAGCAGAGGCCTCGATGTCAGCCCGCAAAAAGAGCTGACGGCGCACTGCCTAAGTCTCCGCAGTGCTTCAAGTCTGACAAGGACGTGGTTCGTCAGCTCCGTTTAAGGGTTTGAGTGGTGCAAAACATCTGTTGAATAATGGGCTCTTGTCCCCTCGCCGTGGTGCAGGGCTTAGGGCACAGGGCTTCGGGTTTCGGGCTTTGCGGCTGACCTGTAACCCGAGTCCTTAAGCTGGAAAGCCGAGTAGTCTTTGGCTGCGCTCCACTCTGCGACTCTTACGTTGGAGACATGCACCGACCATGCTCCAAGTGCGTGAAGGCACTCTGTAACCCTAAGGGTCCATGTGCCCAAATAGTATTACGTACTCTTGCCGAAAAGGACCCTTAGGGTAAGGGCAAAGTTCGCGGGCAAAAGTCAGACCAGCTGAGGCGAGCTTGGACATGCGAGCACGTAATGTAGGGGCCTTAAACATGAGAAGAGGGTGTGGGGGGATTCCTCATGATAGTTACAGTATAATACGCACCCCAAACCCTAGTCTAATTATTAAGGCACCTATACTATTCCCCAAGGTCTGCGGATACAAGCTCTGGAGGCACTGCAAGAGAAGACGAGATCCAGACTTGCTTCGGCGCCTGGTGTGGCACACCACAGTCACGGTCGACTCTCTTGTCTGCAGGTAGGGGGTGGGGGGGGGGGGGGCTGGCAAGGCTCTCGAATATTGGCTGAAGAACCGCAAACCATGCGGGAGTTTCCAAAAACAGGGGACCCTAATATGGTACCTTAAATAGTAGGACCCTTGTTATCAAGACCCTAAATTACAGTCAAGTACCCCTAATTTTCTGAAATTCTTAACCCTAAACCCTTAATAGAAAACCTTAGAGATCCCTTTAAGGAACCCCTTAAAGGATCACTTTAAAGGAACCCCCCTAAGTTGCGGAAACTCCCATGCTACGAAGATCGAGTGGGCCTGCGCGCGGGCGGGGGCGCCCCGAAGCTCTGGAGGCTCCTGCAGCTGTCACGGTCGAATTTGGTTGGTTTCGTGGTTGTGGGGTTCAGGTTTAGAGTTCTGGGGTTCAGGGTTTCGGGGTTCAGGGTTTAGGGGTTTAGGGGTGTAGGGTTTAGGGTCTTGCTGTGCTCCCTTTGTTGGGTTTGAGGATTCTATACGATGGTCGCTTGTTGCCCTGCTTTGGGCTGCTTGATTCGTGCTGCGCCGTGTAGGTGTAGGTGAAGGTGCGAGTTTGTGTGTGTAGGTGGGTAGGTAGGCAGGTCGATGGGTAGGTAGGTAGGTAGGTAGGTAGGTCGGAAGGTAGGTGTGTGTGTGTGTGTGACGATTATCACTATTGCAACTGCAACTGTTATTCGTCTTGTTCTTAGTGTTGTTGACGTTGCTAACGTTATCCATTACTTCGTTGTTGTTACTGTTTTTGATTTTGTCATGGATACGTTATTGTTAACATGCTTTAGACTTTAGAACATCATTCTTCTTGCTATTACCGCTCTTATGCCTGCAATGTCGGCCATATTATGTTGCAAGGATTAAAATCTGATTCACGTATAATCCCTACACGCTATAACCTAGCATAAACCCAATAACCTATACCCTAATTAAGCCCTGGTATAAACCCTAAACCTGCTTATACACCCTAAACCTAAACCCTAGTATAAACCCTAAACTGAAGCCCTAAACCCTAAACCCTAAACCCGTCAACCCTAAACCCTAAACCTTAAACTTAAACCTATAAACCCTGATTGTAAGCACTCTCCGGTCTCCTGGGGTCCGCTGGCAGGGAACAACCCGATGAGCTCCCGGATGTTGTTCAGGAGCCTGCTTTCGGTTTGAGGGTTTGGGGCTTAGGAATTGGGGTTTAGGCTAAGTTTATGGTTTAGGGTTCAGGGTTTAGGGATTTGGGTTTAGGCTAAGTTTATGGTTGAGGGTTTAGGGATTTAGGTTTAGGCTAAGTTTATGGTTTAGTGTTTAGGGTTTAGGGTTTGAGGTTAAGGGATTGGGGTTCAGGCTAAGTTTATGGTTTAGTGTTTAGTGTTTAGGCTTCAGGGTTTAGGGATTTGGGTTTAGGCTGAGTTTATGGATCAGGATTTAGGGTTTAGGGTGTGGGGGTTTGGGGTTTAGATTTAGTTTTCTTCTTCGAATCCCGTTTCTGTTTTCTCCAGGGTCGACATTCAAGTATGGTAATCCAGAACCCAGATACTAAACCCTAAACCCTGAACGCCTTAACCCCCTAAACTCTAAACCTTACGACACCCCAAACCTCAGGACAGCAAACACTAAACCGAGGCTCCCGAGGAACCTCGTGTCCCCTTGACAGTACTGGAACCCTCACACGAGAAAGGCAAGAGGGTACTAATGCGGAACCAGAAACCAAAAGTGGTGGAAAGCCACTCTTGCACGCAGGAAATGTCTCTTAAGTATCACTGTGCTTCGGATGACATATGTCAAGACCAGGTTGTGCCATTTAGGGTACCCTAAAAGGGATCTTAATTCTGACAACTACCCAGGTATTTGCTAGCGTTTTTTTCGATAGCACTCTGCTAGTAGAAATGCGCTCTGAAAGGGTGTGACCCAGAGACTCCAATACCCCTCAATTAAGGAATATTCCTTAAATCAATATTAAGGGTCCTACTATAATTTAAGGTATATTCCTTAATTAAGGGATATTGGAGTCTCTGGGAAGTCTCAGGTTCACCTCCTTCTTCCGGGCGGGTCTATAGTAGAAGCCAGAAAGTTGGAACATCGCTATCCTCCTGCCCTTAAGGTAAAGTATCAGGGATCCTAGCACTAATCCTCCTGAAGCCATGTTCCAACTTTCTGGCTTCTACTGTAGGGCTTTTGGGGTTCCTTAAAGGGTTCCTTAAAGGGATCTACAAGGGATTTTAGGGTTTTGGGTGTTTAAGGCTTTTAGGGTTTTAGCTTCTACTGTAGGGGTTCGGGACTCAGGGTTGTCTCAGGCTCTCCTCTGCCTCAAACTAGAGTAAAAGCCAGAAAGTTGGAATATGATCATCCCAAGCCCTTTATGGAAAATTATAAGGTATCCTACCCTGAAACCATATTCCAACTTTCTGGAGTTCCCTTTAAACCCTGCACTGCACTTTGTGCGCCAATTTTCTGAAATTGTTCCGATTACTTTCGATGTAAGATCCTATTGAAATCCTACTGAAACCTTCCTTGAGTTCCTACTTGTTTACATCTAAAGTTTATACCAATCGAGGTGGGGGTTAGGATTCTTCCCTTAAGGCTCCACCAAAGGACCCAACAATTAAGAACGCGGGTTTGGGATAGCAGTTATGTAGGTTACTATTTTTGAGAGTATATGATAATTGGGTACTTGGACCCTGGGGCATTTGGAATAAACAACTGTAAACAAGTCTCTCCTGCGTAAGGGGAGAAGGTCCATCCGTCGGAGCATCAGCAAAGTAGGAGCCGTATCCACACTGACGACCTCTGTCAGACATGAAGAATTTGGAGTTTGCTTTTGTATATAGACTGATGCCTTGCGTTTTTCTATAGGATTGACGACCTGCCTGAGTTGAAACTAGGCTTAATCAAGGTAAGTGGGGTCACGATTTACTGGGGCCATGAATCCAAAACAGCCACTAAGCCAAGGGCTCTAAGTAGCTATCCAGTAATCTAGTACAAGGGGCAGTCTTAGGAATGACACTTTTGATTCGGGGATGTATCCCCCATTGCAGTAATTACCTGGGACCCTTTGGGAATAAGGAACCATGCTCATCTATCGTAAAATCGCGAAACCAAAGGCAAGGGGCAAGGTCCCCAATCTACTGTAGCACACAAACGCAACGATTTGTAATATTGCTACATACATACATACATACATACAGACATAACAAACATACAGGCATGCGCACATGCATGCATGCTTAAATGTATGTGTATATATATATATATATATATATGTATGTATGTATGTATGGTGTACAATGCTCCACTCAAAACCCTATCCTACTGCCACATCCCATGTTTCGCTTCGTCTTGAGCAAGACTGAACTTGCCAGACACATGTGGGCGGGAGAAGGGCTGAAACGATTCAAACCTGGCGTAAAAAGGTCGATTTCTATGGGACAAGCAAGGTTTACATATAGGCTTAAGGATCAGCGACACTAAAAACCCTTTCCCATTCGACCTCAGCGAAGCTTGCATGAAAAGATGGCGCCACATTGCGAATGCGGTTCCGAGGTACGTGCTCGGGGCCTAGAAGGCTCAAGGGCTTGAGCAGTAGTTGAGTGTTTCTTGCCTGACTTCTGAACCCTCGGAGTGGGAGACTCTATATCGTTCTTGATAGCTCTAAGCCACTAGGCATCCACGGGAAACACACACAATAATTACGGCAACGCGAATTTTCAACCAATGCGCAGCCGGCTTGTGCGACTCTGGATGGGTGTCCCAGAAACCTCGACTCCACCGACGCCCTAAACTCTAAACCTCTCATCTTCTCCCATCTTCATGGTCAATCTAAGATCATATGCATCATGAACATCGAATCGAAGCCCTAAACCCCCAAACCCCCATAAGCCCTACAAACCCTATTAGCCCTAAACCCCTATAGAAGCCCTTTAGAACAGGTTAGTGAGCACTTAAAATACTTTGTAAGACTTGAACCCCGTAAGATCCTAGCCCTCAACCCCATCAATCCTAGGTCCCAGAAGCTCTAAGCCCCATAGACTTGACTCCTACACCTCCTCACTCCTGGCTTTCCGGCTCGGTCGCTGGATCCTCCTCGAGATTGGCCAAGAGTTCAACATGGTTTGATTTCTTTCTTGGTCTTATAGAAGTCTGTATGAAGTCTACACAAGGTTTGTGTAAAGCTTTTTATGTTTCAATCGAGTACTATGGCTTATCAGCATTGGAGTTGTGATCACGGGCTGAGTAAACCCTACGGCCTCCATCACACCCTCTGCCCTTGTTCGTGTTGAATAACGAACTTGATAATGCAAGTTACTAATAAACGGAGGACACGAGTGTTTACTCTCTGTATCTCTCTCTCTCTCTCTCTCTCCCCCTCTCCTTGAATATAACTATAATGCAGGCATATGCCATACATAGATCGAGGTCATGGACCCTAAGGGTTCCTTGTAGTAGTCGAGGCAGCTTTGCCAGAACCCGCGCTTCTGGCTCGCACAGCGGCCCGCGGCGGAGATGGCTGCGACCTATTCGGGGGTTTTGCAAGTTTCTGCCAAGTTTTCTGGGAAGTTGTAAGTTATGAACAGGGTTTTATGAGGCTTCTTTGCATCCTCAAAGGGGTTTCGCGGGATGTGTATGTCTGCAAAAGGTTTTGTCAAACCTTTGTCGAGGTTTCTTTGCGGCTGCAATCCTGTGTATGGGCTACATGGATCCATGGAAACCTATACTGAACTTTCAACCCTAGCAAAAATTGTGACTTTAGCTGTTTCTTACGGATTATAATAACCTAAAATTAAACAATTCTAAGTTCCCCTAAGAAACCTGTCCGGGAGATGATGCAGAGCTCTACCTAGGGCTTCCTAGCTGGACTGAACCACCCCGAAATCTAGGCTTGCAGGGTCTAGGGCAAAGGGGTAGAGAGCTTTGGGGTAAGGGTTTAGGACTTTAAGGGTTTATAGGGTTTTGTTGACCAATCTGCAGCCTCCTCCGGCATTAGCTCGAAGGCGAAAATCGCAAGGTACTCCTTTCGACTGCTGCGCTTGCCGTAAGTGTCCAAGCGGGCGTATGGGTATACGTATTCATGGGCACTAACTTCTAGAACATGGCTTGGCGGTAAACAACAGTGGAATGGTGTACAGTTGTACAGGGCCTGTAAGCGCTACCATTACTCACTGCTGGGTTCTTGCTAAGGACCTTAATTACAGCAAGCTACCATTACCGAGATCTGTGATGAATAAACAATATGTTTTCATTAGTGAATTGTGGTTGCTTGATTGTTTCACTTAACAGGAACCCATTTTAAGGCCGAAGTACGTTTGCATAATGGATTTGTAGGCTTGTCGACGCTTCGATGGCTTTGAAGGGCGTGGGGCTTCAGGATTGGAGTTAGGAATTCTGTAGTCTTGGACGTAGGGTCGGCATTTAGGAGTCTGATCAATAACCGAGGCACCATTCAGAAAAAAAAACACATCCGAGTCGACCATGGTTGGGGAGTGAATCGCCCCTCTGTTCCATGCCGTGTTGTGGAAGGTCGGAGACCCTCACACCTACCTACTTGTCCAGTAGCATGGGGAACTAAAGGTTAAGCTTTGGGATTATATAGGGGTTATAGTAACCCAAAAAGGTTAAAGGTCACCTACTCTACTTGTAAGCCTATAGTCTCCATTGTAATTGCAACCAACTGTATATTATAGCATCCTAACATATCCGACCAGTAAAACTGGTTAGCCGAGGCAGGGACTGCAATGGAGACTATAACTATTACACATCCGGGGGATAGATTGTATAATCGAGTAGGTGCTCGTGCAAATTGCGACCCAGACGGCCGAATTAACTTTATGCGTGCAATTGCGTAAGCCATATGCCTTGGAGATGGAACACTTCGAGTCCCACCTTATCTAAGTGCCCTCAGAACCAACATCACGAGGTAAACATCCCTCGGAGTTGTACTATCATACAAAATCCGAAGAACACTAGATGGGTGGTTGTCAAGATTAGGGTCCCTTTTTGGGTCCCTAATATAGTACGGCACCTAATATTTGGGGTACCAAAAAAGGGACCATAGTTTTAACAACTGCCCAGATTCAAGGGTTTGGAAGTTTGCAGGTGAGCTGCAGAGCCAGGAAACCCACCACCCTAACCCCTGAAGCACCGCAACCCTCCTAACATAATCCACCATTGCAAGTGTATAGGTCCCACTAAGATGAACTTCAATATCGAACCTATAAGAACACTACAAACAGAACAGGTTCTGGTGACTATGTTAGGCTATGGTAATTTCAGGTACTCCGTAAACCCCACCTATCCGAAACTCCATGGCCTTGAGGTCCGACATCCCTGAGGGTTCATGTGATCATAAACCCGAAGGCTCCATGTACCCATATAGTATATACTTAAGCCTTTAAGTACCTACATGGGTACCCCTTTACGGCCTAAGTATATACTATATAGGTACATGCAGCCTTAGGGAAAGTACATACTTTAGCCTCAAAGTCCTCCACATAGCTATCTTGCTACTTGCGGGCCAGAGCATGTATACTATTTAGGTACATGGGGGTTTCCAAAAATGGGACCCTAAATAGTAGGATCCTTATTATAAGGACCATTACATAAGGTACCCTGATTTTCGGAAACTCCCATTTAGGCACATGGACCCGTAGGGAATGCTAAAGCAAACTAAAGCCCAAAGTCCGTTGGATTCAGCTGTATAAAACCTTACAGAGCCCGATGCAAGCCGAACCATAAGCCCTGAGCCCTTTCGGCTCCTTCACCCTAAGGGTCCATGTACCCATATAAAGATACATGAGCCCCAAAGTACCTATATTAAGGGACTACATTAAGGCCAATGTATACACTATATGAGTACATGGACCCTTAGGGTCATACCCATAAACCCTAGACCCTGTTAGCTCCTTCATGCGTTCCGGCTTAGAGCTCGTAGTAACCGGCACCCGGCCGGTTTGGTAGGCCCAGCGGAGAAGCACCTGCTTGGCGCTTACGGAGCCTGGCTTTGGGGATTCGTCTAGGGCCAAAGTTCAGGATTTGCGTTTCGCGGCTTAGGTCCTACCTTGCTTTGCCCAGAGGCTCCATAGTAGTTCCTTTTTGGGATTACCTTATAGGGTTCTGCTACATATGAACCCCAAAAAAGGAATTACTACTGTGGAGCCTATGGTTATTGGTCGGCCGGGGGTTCAGACGTCGACTTGAGACTGTTTTGTCGAGATTTCTGGTTTCGGAGTTAAGGGACTTCGAAAGTAGACTCCTGCCCTAAGACTCTAACCCTAAGGCTCGAAATGGCCCAAAAGCCTTATATGATATGGTCTTTAGGCCCAAAACCTTAAACTATGAGTCCTTAGAGCCTTAGGGTAAGGATTCGTAGCTTACGACTGTCGGGCCCGGAGACCCCTTGTTATGCTGGCGTTAAAACCGCCCTAGATGAGTCTCGGAAGCTAACCAACCCAATCTGAACATTCTCGAACCCTGGCAAAATCCCGCGCAAATTCCACGCAACACCCTGTAGCACCGGATCAGCAGCAAACATCTCCTAGACACTCCAAGCGAAGCTAAACAAAGCTGCTTTGAACTCCAAGCTCGGAGACTACCCTGAGGCTCCATAGTAGTTCCTTGTTGGGATTACCTTGCAGGGTTCTGACTATGAACCTCAAAAAGGAACTACTATGGGCAAACACTAGACATGGGTTCTTGTCCCGAGTCCCCAGGTCCTCAACTCGGGCACTTCTGCACCCTACGCCACGTTGTTCCAGAGTCCCCGGAATAACAACAAGGGTACTTATCTTAGCT